GGTAGGAGGAAAGGGAACCCTTCTGCAACAGCCTTTCAGGAACAGGAGGGTCCTGCCAGTCAGTTTTCCCATATAACAACATTGTTTTTCACCAGGAGCCACTCCAACTCTCTACTGGTTGTTTCCACTTACGATACTATAAGCACTGACTGGAGTACACTTGGATCAGGGTTGGTGCAGCATGCTGGCTGCTGCTTAGCTTGCTTCCCCTAATTTAACCCCAAAGCTGCAACTGAAGGGGGAGAGGGGAGAGAAGAGGCAATTCTCACACCATCCCACAAAAACACATCATCACAACAATGATCAGGGTTTTCAGCAGCAAGGCTATGACAGTAACAGCACAAGAAAGAGGGAAAAATATTGCCCCAGAGGCTTTGGAAAACACCGCCACAGCAGATTGTGTGAAAGGTTACAGAGCCACGAGACGAAGCAGACCACAGAGTTGTAGATAAGGCCCTTATCAACACAGAGGGCTATAAAACACCTAAGGGACTGCAATAATACTCTTCTCAGCTGTAATTAAAATACATATTGTGCCAATATATGCAATCCCATTCAAAGTCAGAATTTGAATAAACCTGCACTGGTGTCTTCCACATTAAAAATTTGTACATATTCACAAAACATGAAAATAATTTGAATCTTAATCAGCAAAAGCCTCCACATTTGTTCACTTCCTACATAAACTCACAGAAAGAGTTCTTATAGACCAACCAGTACTAACCAGGTAGCAGGGAAGAAGTAAAGAAAACTGTCACTGTCTTTCCCTGTAAATAAAAAGTACCTGCTTCCAAGACAACTGAGACCTATTTTGCTTACTATCCCATAATCTACCTACCATCATGTACAAGAGCCTCTATCCTGCCCCTCTTCCTTGCCAAACCCTCTATTTGTCTAGGCCCAGTTTAAGTCAACAGGACTGCCTTCTTTGTTAGCTCATGGAATAAAACTGGAATTGTATTTTTTCGGTAGTTTTATGAACAGAAGCACAATATTTAGGGAGTGAAATACAATTTTAAGTCATATATTTCATGTCAGATTTTACTGACACAGAATAAATATTTGTCCATTAGAACAACTTCAAAACAATGCAGTTATTAAGTAGTGCACTCTGTGTAAAACAGTACTATAACTATGAACAACAAATGCAGCAAGGTATGAGGTTATGTCTAAATAATTTTTATTTCTCATTAATATAAATATTACCAAGTAAAGACATATGCTGTATCAATTTGAGACAAGTGACACCAATCTTTGCTATGGTAATTGTTTCAGCTTAGATTTTCTAGTAGCTTATCTCAGCCTTTTGAGACTTGCATGAAACAACACTGTCAGGAAGACACAATGAAATGAACCAAACAGCTACTGTAATTTATGGCTGAGAATCTGGGAGATATCGAAAAGACAAGAAACACAAGAATATGACTAAGGGAAACAGGAAAGGGTGATAAAGCATCTGCAAATACCATATTCTAAAAAAAGGGGCAAACGTAGTCATAATGTGAAATAAGTTATTCTGTTTTCTGTCTAAATATATTTGTTTTAAGTATTACAAAACACATTATGAAGTTATGGACATAAAAATACTACTAAAAAATTCAGATCCAAATTACATGATCACTCTAAAAGAGAAATCCTGAAGCAGAACATGGGAAAAGGCAAGACGATGTTAGTCTGCTGTAGTTGTATAGAATTTTCAAGACTTCATTTATTTTAACATCTTTCTTAGTCCTGGAAAAGAAGTCTCACAAAAACAGACTCATATGCCAAACTACAAAGGGTAGACAAGACACTATTTCTACACTAGTTCTAGGCAGCAGGTTAAGACAAACAGTACTTCAGTTCTCCTGCTGAGCTTAAAGGGATGTGCAGGAAAGGCAGATACTCTCAAGTATGTGACTGAAGAAACTTACACTGCCAAAGTTTACTCAAAGACAAGAAGCTGTAAGCAAATCCTAGATATATAGGCCTTGAAGGGTATTACAACGTCTACTCAAGCTGCAGCAAGTTCAATTCAATAGAAACTGAAAGTGTAGTAACCTGGTGATACAGTTTAAGAGTACAACAAGATATTAAGTGCTAACCTGGGGAAGGGGTGGAAAAGACTTGCCACTTAAACATAATGCACAAAGGAAGGATAGAAGATGGAAGGTGTTGCCTGATTTTCCACATTCAACCAAATAATAGCATGGTCTATAACATTTTCAAGCTCTTATATCAATTTAAATTTTGCATTGCATATTCAGGCTGTTATTAACAACTGTCTTTAACTGTCAATATGTCATAACTTCATATTATTGTAGCTTAAGGTACCTTATTTATTTTAGTATCAATTAAGGCTAACTTTGCAAACACTTGCTGTGGTCAAATAAAATGTTTAAGTATTTAATCTGATATTTGAAGTCAGTAGAGCTACTCAGAATCTTAATGGCAAGCACATGCTGAACTCGAGCCATAATCTTAAGAATTATTCACAAGTTGGCCCACTTCATTCCCTTAGATTGTTCACAGACATACACCTTTTAAAAATAGACATTTGAAGAATAAACTCTAAAAATATTTAGTTTACTTCTTGCCTGTGCTCTTGTTTTGTAAACTTTAAGTTGCCACAGTATATCACAGTATTGAGATAAAAAAAGAAAAGATTGCAAGGTCTTAAAGATTCACTGAGAAGTTGTCCTACTTCATGGGTAAAAAAGCATATGAAATAATATATTCAGTAGATTAAAAGAAAACTGTATTATTGTAAATGTACATAGCCATAAATAAAAATTAGTGTATACTGAAAATACTAAAAAAATCTGAATTCACGAAGTTGAAAGACAATTAACAGTCTTCAAGGGCCTATATAGGTTTCACGTAACTGTGTACAGTAAATAAAATTAGAATATTCGTTTATAATTTGAAAGGGACTATGAGATGGTCCCCTTTTCCATAAGAATTTTCAGTGTAGAGGAAAAGACAAATAGAGAATAAAGAGTGAATATTAACCCAACAGATGAAGAATGAATGCAGCTGGAGCTATATGATCCTCATTCAGCACATCATCTGTATTGGGTCAATTTTTGCACTTAATAGCTAGTCATAAGTTAAGTGTACTGTTCAAATGTACACTTGAAAGGCAGCTCTGAAATCACCAACAGAAAGTACACTTTTCTGGGCAATATACCTGGACTCCAATACAGGAGAACCTCACATCATGAAAAACTAATAGTTATTTCAGCAATATACCTCTTTCTACTTTGATCTTGTCAAGGATTTCATTTTTGTCTACTAAATCAGATTTGATAGCAGTCTCTAGTTTAGCAATTTGCAGTTTCAGTTGCTGTTCCTTTAATTTCCATTGCTGTCCATGGGTCATACTGAAGACACTGCAATAAAACATGTGGCATGTGAAAAACTTTTAGAAATCAGCTTCAACACAAAATAATAAAGAAAAAAATCTTTTAGTGGCACGGAGACCACTGTCATCATGTCTTAGGAATTAAGTAAACATATGCTGGTCTGCTGCTGTTGAAACCAAGGCGCCTTTCTCAGGCTGCGGTTAAAAAACATGAAAGAGTTTGTGGGATGAGCAAAGGAACTGGCCTTAATTTAGAGCTCCAAAGTCAGAAAAGTTGGCAACATGCAACATTTGTGGGACTAGAAAAAGAATTCAGATGCATATCCCAGAGTAATCCACAACTCCAAACCTCAGCAACTGACAACTGACAAAACCATTCTTTCCACATACAAAACCTCTTAATGTAGAGAACTGGGATCACCCACCTGATTTCTTTTAAATCTGTGAAACATGCAGAGCCTATAGTCAGTTGCCTGTTCAAAGAAATGTTAACCACAAAGTGACAACAGTTTTCTCATACTGTAAAACAACAATTCTGATACTGATTAAGAAGTGCATATAAAGTAATCTTTCTCCTACTTTAAGAAATAAAAAACAGAGGTAGGCAAAGAAATGAGAGTAACTATTTTGCCTGAAACACATTATTTACCAGTAAACTACCAATCTATGTCCAATTAGGACTGCATGGACTCAGAATCAGAACTGTTGAAACCACAACAAAATGTGTAACTCCGACTGAAACAAAATTAAGTACGTTACATAATTTACAGTATAATTCCCACTAGGTAAAAAGACAAAGCAATGCCATGTGCTTTCTTACAATTTAAAGAGTACTATGGTCTTCATATTATTATTATTCAATGCTTGCATTCTTATTAAGTGGGAAAATGTCTTTCATCTTAACCAATCATAAACCCTTTTATTCATTTGTGTATTCTGTGAAAAATCAGAAATTGAAGGGTTTTTTAAAACAAAAGTCAGTTCCTTAACTCTTCGCTTTGGCAAAGCTCACCAGTTAAAGTTGTTATTTTTTACATACATAAATGTATTTAAAAAAATATTCTGATATCTACCTATATATCAATCCATCTCTCCCAGAGATCTATGTAACAAAAGCCTCAACCAAAAAAATACAGAGAAGAAAGAAATATCACAGAAGGGACAGCCTACATAGCTTCGCAGACTGTACATGCTGACTGAAAGAACTGCCTGTTTTGATGGCTATGACTACATCAAGTGGTTCTGAGTACATATAAGTGCATATATATCTAATATATTTGAAGAATGACCTTAAGATTAAAGAAAAAAATATAATAGCATGAATTGTAGACTCTGAAGTACATGGCAAGGTTTTACATTCTTGATTTGTGATCTTCATAAAAACAGTTCTCTCTGTATTTTGTCTTTTCCTCATACTGTATCTATCTCACCTATTTATACAGTTCTCTAGGCATATACCATCTTATAATGTGATACAGTGTCTTTTACAGCATGCATGAACTTAAGCAATGCTTTTAAGTCAGTAGAATATATACAGTAATATATACTTCACTCTGCTATAATTTTGAAGATAATATGCAGCAAATATAATCACTGAACCCACAATCTTTTCCACAATACTGCACAGGTACAGAAGAGCCACAGTGTTTTCCATAAGTGCTTAGATTTAGCACTCTTCAAAGTTTGATTGGTTCTCATAAGGAAAGACTAAATCTTAGCAAGAAAAGGCATGAAATACCTTTAGTTTTCACACTTCTGAAAACGTTTTCAAGTTTAATGACCATGATACCTACTTATATGTGCATTCGTTATATTTAGGTACAATTACTTCGCATCAAGATGTAGCTACACATTTAGTTTTTCAAAAGACTATGCTGGCAGAAAAATCATTAACAGTTACTATGATGGTAATTCAGAATTTAGATGTTTAAATGAAGAACATTTCAGAAGACAGGTTTTATCCAAGCCTATATAATGCTAATGTTTATGTCAGTTTGAACTGAGTCCACTTCTGTTGCTTTCTTCCTTTGAATTTTAAGATTAGTCTTACTTAAATTCATGTGAAATTTCTTTCACATTTACTGTATTTCACTGGAGTTGGAGCCATCTGGGTAACTATAAATGGTCAACCACATCTGGCACCATTTTCTTTGGAGGGAGTTTAACCATTGCTAGATTTGCATTACAAGGTCATATGAAAACAATTCCTCCAAACCTTTTATCCAAACAAATTGTTTTCCGGGATACTGACTAAATAAGAGTCAACAAACTCATACTTGTTCCTTGTAAACTTTTCAGATCCAGTTTTGCAGTCTTGGCTTTGGCAAAATTCCCACCAACTTCAAATGAATTCCCAAGAAAGTAACATTAGCAAAAAATGGGTTTATGCCTCTCCTCCTCCACCAAAAAAAAGAAAGAAATATTTATTAATTATCTGGCCTATCCTGTGGACACTGGCCTATCCACTGCTAGCAGCAAGGTAAGCTGTAGTAAAGTTGCATTGTTCAAATGGGCAACAGAAAAAGCTGGCCGTGAAACAGTAGTAATAATGAAATAACTGATTTCTCTTCCTAATTTCTTGTTACCTGTGTAGTAACATGGAATGATGAAACATGAATCGAAGTTTAAATGGGAGTATATGAAAAGACAGATCATTTTAGGTAAAAGAAAAGTCATATTGTATATTACCGCGTTATGACAGAAACGTATTTAAATTTATCTGCTTACATATCTTTTTAAGTTATCCCCCTATGATTTCAATAGAAAAAAAATTTTAAGCCAAGATTGTAAGTTGATTTGTTAGTAAGAGTTATTTCTCTGCATAATGATAGAGGAGAAAAAAAATAATAATCAAAAATATTTATAACATGATCAGACTTTGGAGGAATCTACAACAATAAACTTACATGAGAGACAACCGACCAACTACCCCTATACAAAACTCTAAACATTGTGATTATCCAACTGTTACATATCATATGTAAAAAAAAAATAAAAATATTTTTTAAGCTATTTGTACTCACAGTTTTTTACTACTATAATTTTTAATTTCACTGTAGAAAGTACAAAAAAAAAAATATTGTAAGAATACTATAAACAACATTTGATATCACTCACAGTGTGTTTAGTCATTGGTATTTTTTCAACAGACTTCACACTGACAAACCAAACAAACTTTAAGAGGAGAAATAATTTTATATAAGAAAAGACCAAGCATTTTATCTACTTTCTGAGGCAATTATTAGCTCTAAGACATTCGTCTTACTTTCTAACCCTCTTCAGTGTGAAAGACCACACGGGTTCACAATAAAGGAAAAGTTCATTTAAAGGTTATTTTTTCCTTTAATATGCTTGTGGCAATTGACTATAACTTCTTTTCTGTACCAGAGAATTTCTGAATCACACCTGATTTTCATTTTCATTGTAAACACCGCTGATACAATTTATACAAGTTATTATGTATAAGAACCTTTGTAAAAACTCACATGAGCCTCCACAAAAGTTTCAAGCAGAACCAGTACAAGTGAAATGGCAGCTATCAGTAAAATACACAAACTACCCCTCAAAAATAAACATTGGAGAAGCTGTCAAATATCAGCCTTTATATAGGTCCACTAAGAAGTGCTGGAAGAACTTATATAAAAAGTTGAAACACTCCTTTTCCCCAAATAAAATAAAATACAATAAAATAAACGCAAAGGAATATACATCTACCTAGACGTATTCTTCTTTCAACAATAATCCTACCAAAAATGGTTAGAAATTCAAATAAAAATTTTTTGTGTTGATGTTCAAAATAAAGTGATTTCTATTTATTTTTTATTTAGGTAATCTACTACTATCTACTAATCTACTAACTAGTAATCTACTATTTCGAGAGTGTTAGAACAAGTATGGAAGCTGCTTCGTTTCAATAGAACAGATGAAATACAGACAGAACACCATAAAAGTTTCCATATACACTTACTGATATGACGAACTGTAGCATGAATATATTTACACATTCAAGCACACAGTATACAGAGACCTATTAAACAGGACAGGAATCAAGTATTTTATATACAGAAACCATAACTTACCTGTTATACAGCTGATCATAGTTTTCCCTCAAGAGTTCCTTCTCTTTTTCTAGATCATTTATTCTTTCCTGTAACTAAAATGAAGTAGGAAGTCTCAAGCAATGCACAGCACAAAAGGAAATTACAATGAATGTGTAAAGACAAATCGTTAATAATTTGAAGGCACTGGCAGGCTTTTATTTGTTCTTTTTATACGACAGCCTCTTAGAAGCTTCAAAATAACACTTTTTTACCATAAGGATTTACATTTGGCCTAGACAGTCTTTTTCATGTTGTTTTTTCATGCTGAGACTAACATGTCGCAGTTGAAAAACACTATCTAATCACATTCTGCCTTATGCAAAAAAAAAAATAAAAAAAATCTATAGCATTAAAAATTTTTATTTCCATTTTGGTAAGTGAGTATTATTATTAGCTAGTTAATGGCTCCTGTATAGTAAATATGTTTTTATTGACCTTACAGAAACAACAGGTCATTGCTTTCAAAATACTCACTAAAGTAGGATATGGTTTTAAAGATATGAGATGCTTTAACCCAGAAGATATACCCCTAATACATGCATTACAATAGATATTTTCTCCAAACCTTTAAACTACGAGGGAACCTTGGTAATCTTGGTTCATGTAAAATACATTCAAAACAGGTAAACCAAGTGGTAAAACTAAACTTAAGTTGCTACAAAATTCAAGAGAAAATAAATAAGTTTGTAGACTCTTACTCCTCATACGTTGAAGAGAATGAGGAATAAAACACTTGATTTTTAGCCCTATAGTGGAGTGACTATCATTGATGACACTAGTCTCAGAGTCACTAGACAAAGAAATAGAAGTGACTGATTTGAACTGTTGAGTAAGATGAATACTACACTGTACTCTAATTAAATCAGGTTGAAATCACACTAAAAAACTAGCAAGATCCGATCTATAAATCAAGTACTATGATCTTTTTCAGGTTAATAAACCACTTGTTTAGTATCAGAATTGACATGAAATCCTATGTGTTAACCTCAAATATTGTCCAAACACTGGTGCAGTGATTACATGGCATGGGGACCAGGTGTGGTTCACAATTCTATGAAACGCAAGCAGCAGCCACCGTTTTTTCTTCTCAATGGGATAAAAGTATATCTATAACCAAGTCAGTCTTCTAAATCTGTTCCAAAGATCTATTCATATCTTTGCAATGAAAAGGTATCCCATTCTTAACTTTTCCCTTACCTATGTGTATCACCTAAAGCAGATTCTAGCTCTCTCTAACACAATATCTCACCTCCTCTGTCCTTTGGTTTGAAATAGTTGCTGTTTGCAGTTCTTTCTCGAGATGGACACACTTTAACCGCTCCTCTTTAAGCTGTAGATTCAGTTCATCACCTTTTGCTATTAAAGCATCATGGCTGGTCTTTAAGTTTTTTTGGTTCTATGAAAAGGAAGGAAAATCCAGAAAAAAAAAAATTAAAAAATCAGACAGTAGAATGTTACAACACTCTGTATATTTAATCAGTGGTCTCTCATGGCAGTATTTAATATATATTCTCAATGTGATCAACAGGAGACACTCTTGAACTAAGTAACTGAAAGCAACTTCCATTACGCATGGCCAGGAGAAGGTGACATTCTTGTTGCTCTCATGAACATTAAACCCTCAGTTCTATCATAATGAAAATGACCAAGAAATATATCTGTTAAGCAATTAGGAGATTTTGCTGTGGTTACAGTGGTTAGACATGCTGACCAAAACCACTGCAGTAGCAAGCAAAAATGAATGTTGACCACAGTATGTTAATCACAGAGCTTGCCACAGCTCTGTTAACCCTTAATTGTAGATGTGTAATTGTTTCATAATCTTAATGCACTCATTTCTATTTCCCTGCTAGCAATAATGAGATACTTATGATTTCTTTTACATTTTAATTTACTTAAATGGATTATTTTAAGGCACATTTAATCAATTTTAATATTAAATGGAGGATGCTGATAGAACCTCTATTTCCAGAATATTAGTTAATATTATACTGCCTATATTCCACAATGCTTTAATAAAGCCTCATTAAAAATTTCAGCGTAAATCACATTCAAAGTATCACTTGAAACAAAATAGCCCAAAAGCCAATCTCTTGTTTAATAAAATGATTATATGAAAATTTATGTCAAGTACATGTATGAGTATAGATAATGTTTAATGATTAATGACAGGAAAAAAGTTAGCTTCATTTTTTCCATATAATATTCCTACAAAGTAGTTAAATGGAGAAGTTGAATGTGACTCCTGTACAAATTGTTTAGGTTCACATGCAGTCTGAACATCCTTTCATTATCTCATTTCTCAGTAAGAAAAGTATCATGGATAATAAATAATATTAGCAGTCAGTCTTATTTCAGAGAGATAATGAAGCAATATTACTCATTAATTTTTAACAGTCTTCAGCGTTCCTCTCGCTGTCCTATATCTGTGAACTGTGTATCTTCAAAAAATGACACCTTAAAAATCATTCTTTTACACTCTTCATTTCTCTCCAAATTTCTTTCCTTTCTTCTCAAAATCAGAATCCTTACAGTTTCTAACCCTTCCAACTGTCCAAGTGAACTCTTCCCCATCTCTCAGCTTCAGCTTTTTCCTGAAGTTCTTTTCCATTTCAATAACTCGTGTCACTTCAACCCATGATATATGAAGGAAAAAAAACAACACCAAAACATCTTGGCAAAGCTGCCTTTCATAGAGCATTTCACCCTCATCTCTTTTCTTAATTTCCAAAACAGTTGAAAACAAATTCAACAATGATATTTACTCCACTGAACGGTCTCATTAAAAGCATCAAAAATATCCTCCTGAAAAATCTCCTTGCTTCAACTTCATTCTAGTCCTTCAGTGTCTCTGCTACTCTCCTGACCATTTTGGGTTAACTTTCCTCATTAACTTTAAGGGGACCATGACTTCACCCTCATTATTAAATTTTTTTTCCAAAAGGCATTTTTTACCTGGATATTCTTCCATATTTGAGTGTTCTGTCAACACTTTTTTTCCATTATGCCCAAACTGTTTTCCATCCTGCTCTCCCTGGAGTATCCCAAGACTCGGGTCATGGCAACAACATGGATGATGATTTTAGTTTAATATTTCTAGTCTGGAATTTTATTTCTTTGGGAAACATGCCTTGACATTGTTGTCAATTAGAAATAACTCATTTAAAGAAAATGGATATATACCTCCCAGAAATATTGCACAAATGAACATAAACTGCTCTCAATTACAGTTGTGAAATTGTACCGATTGTTCAAGAGAATTAAATCTCTATAGTATTTTAAATTGTAGTTGCACAGGTTATCATATTTCATATTACAAATCAAGAAATCCTGAATGTCCAGTGTGTAATAAAAGCAAATAAATATACCAATCTGATCAACTATATAATCCAAACAGTTTCAGGGTCCTTTGCTCTTTTAAGCAGATTGCACAATTCCTTCATTCAACTGGCTACTTTGAAATTCTTTATCAACAAAACCGTCCTGTAAGTGTTTGGTAGCAAGTTCAACCAATATCCTTAGATGAAGCAGGATTATAGGTTCTTATTATTCTGTGGTTTCACATTTTGGGCTGACTCAAGTTCAAAGATGAACATGGAGGAATTAATTATATGGGTTTCAATTGGTAGAAGCTGAAAGTAAATGATGATGAACTAAATAGGCCTAAAAATCATCAAGATAAACATAAAAAAAATACTAAAAACTGCTCTCTTGATAAGAACTTTATGTGCCATGTAAACTAGAAATTTTGGATTTTACCGTTATTCACATTTAGCAGGCACATGTTTCAAATATTCAAATGACTGGAAAAAGGAAAACCATTGTATCCGTTATCTTGAAACAAAAAAAAAAAAAGACGGAACACACAGTCATCCTTTTCAAAAATGCAGCTTTCACTGTGAATATTAGAAACAATGTCTTCAAATACCAGTTTGAATCCTAGGCATATGTTTCTATTCAGCTGCTGCCAAGAAAGAGGCATAAGTACTTGACGTTTGCTGTAAATTACCAAAAAGTTGCAAATGATTTAAAATGGAACAGTTTACTTACCGCTTTCTATTTAAGAACATAGAAAGCCACGTGAAACCTGTCTCCCCTGGAATTTACATTCTACATAGTTCACTCTGTGAAAAATTAAATTTGAGCTACTAACAGAAGAACTGCTTTGGCAGAGAAGATAGAGGTATTACACTGAAGGCGGGGGAGGGAAGCAAAGCAAAACACAGAAGCAGAAAAACACAGGAAAAAAGGAATGGAACAAAAATCTAATGGCACAAGTGTTATTTAGCATGCTACAATAACAAGAAGCAGGCAGCAGTAAGAGCTTACAAGGGTATCTAGTGCTTCCACCTCATAAGGCTAGGATACTTCATAAAGCTCTATTGTACACAGCATTCCTACTTACAGGAACTCTCCTCTTTCTAAGTTATTATCATACTATCTGTCTGTATGCACATGAGGTTCTCCAAATACATATGGGAAGAAGCAGAAAAATGCTGTATAACTAAAACCTATATGGAATCTACCATGCAGTTGCATGTTCTGGTGGTATTTTCATAAAAAGAAAATCTACTACTTAGAGTAGGCTTATAAAATAATTTCCATGAATCTATGAACATAAGTTAAGTCCTAATGTCAGAAATCTAAACAGCCAAACCTCCCCAACTTTATCAAAGACTGATAAAGTGAGGGGGTTCTGGTACCCCTTCTTTGGTAAATCAGTATATTTAAGTCAACACCCTCTCTTTAAATGATCAGGGATCTCTTTCAATAGCCAGACAACTCAGTTCACTCTCCACAATCTGTCTAGGAAGGCTTTGCAGATAGACCGTTCTGGAAAAAAATACAAACAAAAACTTAAGACTAAAAAACCCGAAACATTTGGAGTAGCTTGGGTGCAATGTATTATGTGGTTCATTTTCATGTACTCAGCATTGACTCAGAATCAATAACTGGGTATATTTCTTTTCCATCTACGCATGCTTATGTGATGAGAGTAAAGGAATGTTATTGACCAAATTGCAATTACCTCTTGAAGCTGGAGAAATTTTCCTTCCATTGCTGAAAGAGCATTGCTTTTCTCAAACAGTTGTTTACGGACCTTGATCATTTCCACATTGTCCTGAATGTTTAGCCTTCAAAATTGTATTAAAAAAGAAATGCATCATGAGTTTAAAGATACAAAATAATCTTATTTTTGTTTTGAAAAATTGAAATCCTTTGCAAATCAGTTTTCTACAGCAGATTTGGGAGAAGATTTAGTGTGTAACACCCAAATTAATTTCTTCTTCTATAATCCACATTACAGAATTTAGGTAAATAAACATTGTACCATACTATGACATAGCAGCTCCAATCAATACATATCTATCTTTGTTCACTGTATCAAACTATATACGACAGGAAGATAAAACAATCCTATACCTAAAGAGATTATTTGCTTTCCATTCCCCTCTTTTCCACCCTCCAAAGTATTTGGTGCCAATAGATTACCACTTTATGCAGTTTCCTCTTGCAGTTTAAACCTATCAAATACTGCTAAGAAAAAGTGCCTTAGCAATTTATATTATAACACCTTGAGGCCGGCATTCAAACAAGCTGCAGGTGTGTCTCAACCACATGAAAATCACTTAATATCCATATAGATTTTCTACATTGTTACAATTCTAAGATTAATTTGAGAACATACTGCTTAATAGAAAGTAGGTTTTAAAAGTTCAAATTTTATATAAATATTTATTTAGATATTTTCCCTTGCTTCAAACACTGAAACTAAACCCCATTATTTTTACAGCTTCTTCAAGTAGAGGAAGAGAAACCAATTCTGATTTGTATTAATATAAAATACCATAAAATCAGAATAAATATTTAGCATTTAAAAAGGTACCTTCTCTTCCAATATTTATCTGTTTTAGACATATTGGACGAATTGTCACAATGCCATGCTGGAGCAAGAAAATGGACTACAAAGCTTACACATCTGTAAACCAGCTGAGTACGTGAAAGACTTTCCTTTTATTCTGTAAAATATCAAATCCTGTTGTGTTTTGGCATTGCCCAGTTAATTGTCCTTACACAGAAGATAAACACACTCACAAACCTGAGATCTTCTGCAAGAAACAGCCTTAACGCTATGCTAAAACTATCATGTGTCTAAAACATGTTATCTACACAAATTAAACTTGTGGTGAGTATAGACAGCAGCACTGTCTCATGCTAGCTATTTAAAAGCTAATGTAGTGGCACGTTTTTATTAATCTTATTCCACACATCAAACAAAAGGCTCTGATGCCTTCAAAGGCTTTTTCTTTTTCTTTTTTTTTCCTCCTCCTCTTCTTTTTTAAGTAGAAGGCTTTTTTTTTTTCCTTCTTTAGTAGAAAAAAGAGCAGATGATAGTGAAATTTATGATGTACAGATGTAAACCCCATGGCTCCTGACAATCAACACTGACTATTTTTTCAACAGTGAATGAAACAGCGTTTGACTTAAACAAGTTTGGAGTACTGATACTATGAAGTAAATTATTCAAATTCAGAAGTGAAAAATTACTTTTTATTGGGATAATTTCAATTCCTACAATTATAAGAGTATTTATCTCGTGAAGTTTCTAGCTACAGAAAGCATGTGCAATTAATTTCTTATTAGTGCGTTACATCAATCACAACCTCAGCTCTCATTATAGGCTAGAGCAACAAAATTATTTCTTTACAGTACTTCTACAATATTTAATTTATTTATTTAAATAAAGTACGTATAAGAAATGTCCAATGCACCTAGGTACATGACAAGGAGCTTGCTGCTGAAGAACAAAATCATTTCAGATTTCGTGGGCAAGGCAAAGTTAATTGAGGAAGATTAATTTTTCTATAAATGAAGTCATGAAACAGTAGGATAGAATAGAAATTGATTATCCACACAGCTTTCTCCCTCCCAGGTAGCTGATGTATTCTGCTCCCAGAACCTCTCCCCAGGTATTCTGATATAACTTAAAACCAGGGGTTATATACAGATTTGATATAAATGTCAATGCTACCTTTCACTTAACTAGCTAATATTTTGCTCAAAGAATAACAAAATAATGTATAAGAATAAAGTTGTACTAAGGCAGCTCATTCAATCTTTTCCCTATTGCCAAAAAAGCCAAAAATTCTGCCACAGAACCTGAAGACATGGAGGTAGACCTGGAGCAGAAGTTAGAAAAAGGAACCAACATATCTTTTGAAGCAGTAACCTGAATTAACGGGCATGCTGATTTAGCTCTAGCACACGTTCTACCACAAGTGCAGAAATAAGGAACATGAACTCTATCCTTCCACTCTAAACCTCATCTTAAAGCTGGATTAAAAAGTCTGGAATTGGAAATGAGGTTAGGAGAAAGTGACTCTTTCAAAAACTAAGAATTATGTTTGGGGTTAATGTCTGAAGTACACCAAGGAGACAGTCTCTTTTCCAGACCTTTTATTATTTGCATTAAAAGTGTACAGAGTGGGGTCCCAATAACAGGCTGGGGACCAGCTGTGTGGGAATGGGGGACTGACAGCAACCTACACCAGAATGAAATGATTAAAGAAAGGATCTTGACCTGCACTGTACAAATTTATGCCAGTAAATCCCAGATGGCTAGGCTAATAAAATTGAGGCCTAATTAAACCACATCCCTTGCATCTTGTCTTTGCTTCCATATGAGCAGGACATGGATACTACTGAGACTACTCTTCGAGAGTCCTGACTATTGTATCAACCAGACCAGTGGCTCACAAACTTTCTCCATTCACATTCAGAACAAGAAAAACAAGCAAGTGAAAAAATATTACCACCATACTTCTCAGGATCACTTACTCTCCGTCTGGCAAAATAAACAAAAGGTTTCTAGGCTAATAGTTCTCAATCACAAATGCATCAGTGGCCAAGATATACATGTAGACTCCCAAGCAAAGAAGTAAAGAATAGAATATCAATGTGCAGTACTCTTCTCATTTCACAATGCTTAGGAACTAACAGGAGTATATGTTGATATACATTATGTTCTTTCCTTTACCTCTTATTTCTTATAGGAAGTCAAATGTAAAGGGGAAAAAAAAACAACGTTTATCTTCTAGTAGCACCTTTACATTGTAATTGATAGTATATTTTCAATAAGCACAACATTAGCATTGCATCAATAGCTCTAGCATCTAAATTATTAAGATTATTTAAATACCAATATAAAATTCTACATTTGTTTGCCTGGCTAAAGAGCTATCTACAAATTAAAAAAGTCATGATCTTTAGAGAAACTGGTTAAATATGAAAAATTAGATACGGATATGCAAATATAAGTTTGGGTTTTTATATTAGACATGATTTAGCAAATTCCTATGCATGCTATACTCTCTCAAAACCCTTTAGATAATGTGTTGTGACTACGATGTTCCACATTTTAATCTAGGTCTGCAATGCTATAATGCAAACACAGAAGTCATGAGTGTGTCAGACACGACACTCCTGTCCAAAAATCCACACATTTAATAGGTTTAATTCCAAAGTCAAGTTGCAGCAAAAAATGCCAAAGGAATTAAAAACTGACTGGCAAATGAGTTTTTTCATTAAAAAACCACAAACAAAACACAGAAAAACGCACAAACACGTGCAAATACCAAATACCTGTTTCACTAATGCATTTTGGGGTGGCTTTAAAAATGTTTTTGGAAAGTACCATGAGCAATTAAGTTATTTGAAGCTAGCTGCTTGAAAAATGTGATTGTTTAGACTTAATGTTTTAACTTCTACACCGTGTATCATAGACATCAAACCATGAGCTTATTATGGTTTTGGTCATCTTTAAATTAAAAACAGCCAAGTTAAATGCAGTTTAATTTTGTACTTAAGAAAATGTGTTTAGTCTAACAACCCACAGGCCAAGTTTCTCCCTTAAGTCAAAATTAAGTCAGAATTATATATTACTGAAAAAATCCCCAAACAATCTTTAATGGAATATTGAAAAAACATCTATTGCAGCCATGTTACAATAATCATCTCAAGGAGTACACTGCATATGAACTCAGCTCTGTTATATAGCTCCTTTGTTGTTATACAGAAACTGTAGTGAAGCTGCAAAGGCAGCTTTAAAATAATACTGGATTTCTTGTGGGTACAGAACTCAAGTATCTCCCTCCCTTACCACTGATGGATCAATGATTATTAACTGTGGCTGCTTCACTACTTGGAAACTACAGTTATTTCAATCACAAGAATTTCTTAACCATGTAGCAGAATAAAGAAAGTTTTCCTAAGGGTTCAAAGAAACCTAATTTTGTTAACACTCGCTGAGATCAAATGGTACTACAACATGAAGACTGGTGGAAGCACATTTATTATGACCTTTTGACACCATACAGTTCCTAAAGAATTTCAACAGATTAACTGTCTTTGGGTAGTAATCTAACTAGATGACAGCCAAGTGTATTCTGACAAAACACAAGAAAAAGTTGCCAATTGTACCAAAATTCAAAGACATAAGCTACAAAGACGAAATAAGATGACCTTATCAGTCACACAAATTTTCAATTTTTCCTCCAATACTCCGTTATTGACAGTTTCTTCTCTGCTGATGCAAAGAAGATTAAAAATAAGAATTACATCGAACCTATAAATCTGTTTGTGTAACAAAACAACTAATACAGAATGTTCTAGACAGCAGTTACAAGACTTCCAAGAAAACAAGTAATGAAAATCTCCTAAAGATAATATGCATAGGTACCTATGCTTACAGTTAAACCTGGAGAGAATAGTAACCCTCCAAGTTCTGGTTCTGGTTCATTCAGCATAAAAAAACCCAAAAAAACCAAACCAACCAACCAACAAACCACAAAAACTTGAAAAACATGGGGATTAACAGCCTTCCATGAAGTATTCTAGTGGCAAAATTATAGAATGCACACTATTCTAGATATGCAGTAGTGGACATTTTTCAATTTCTTTCCTAGTGTCTTCAGCCAACACAGTAACTCTTAAATACTTCACATATCTTTTATCACATTTCAAACAAGAAATACTTCCAGAACTTCAAACAGGAATTCACAGATAGTTAACTTAGGTCAAGTATCATAGATTGTATACAAGTAATTTGATAAACATAAATAAAAAAGGTTCTGCACTACTTTTTATAGCCTGACTTTATTTAAGGATTTTTTTTTTTTTTCTGAATTTGAAGTGTATCTTTACTTTAAAACTCCTTAAAAATTTCACAGAAATATGGTAGCTGACATTGAATTTAGATGTTACGTTCAATTTCTGCCTGCTGTACTTAAACAACAGTGTTTATCTATAGAAGAATGAAGCACAGAAGTTCTTTGAGATTTGTATTGGATTATTTTCAAATAATGAAAAAAATCTTTTAAATATTTTCTGAATTCACTGTAGGCACAGATTTAGAAATTATTTATGGTAACAACTTCTTCAGCCTATTTAAACTATATAAAGGAAATTCTGAATAGGGGAGACTTATGACTTTGTCAATAATTTAATAGCAAACATTATGATGTATTATTTATGTAGTGCCACTGATGCACAAAAGGATGCTCACACACAATAACGGGGTCCCTCCCTTAAAAGGCAGTTAAAGAACTGACCGCATACTTCTCATCCAAGTAGAACTTTCACTGAAATCAAATAAGTAAGGAATGCAGGATCATGCTGTATCAGATTCTTAATACAATTAAAAGTAACAAGCTGAAACTGAAACAGTCAAAGAGGGAAAATACATGCAAAGTTACATAATTTTGCATATATTTTGCAAAAGTGAAAGAAGAAAGAAAAGAGATTAAACTAACAGTGAACTACACTCGGCAAGCGTGTTTGTCTGACTGTTTCGCTGCATAGCCATACCATATTCCTTCAAAAATTTGCAATTCTACCCTTATAGGGCCATTATTTTTCTACTATTTGTAGACTCCAAATTATCAATGAGTACTAATGAACCTTAAATTACCCACTATGAACCTATATCTAAAATTTTCTAAGAATTATATTGAAGAAACAATAGATGATTAAAATTTAATGAGTGGAACTTCAATTGAATCCAAATGAGTTGGAAATGAATTCTCTAAAATGGTAATCATGAATTTCTTTGTTTATTTATGAAAAAACATCATAACCTATTATCGTAACAATCTCCTTGCTTAGAAAGATCCATGGCTATATGGTAAAACATTTTATAACTTAGCTTCACCAAAGGGGAAAAAATGAACAAAGCACGTATTTCTTAACAGAACAAGTAATTTTCACAGCTATATATAAACATCATGACATAGCTCTTCTAATGCTTCCACCATGGAGATTTCCATTTTTCACAATACCTTTGGCTTGTTGTTTCTCGCTCTTTCAGCCGTAGGACGGATTCTTCAATTTCCTTCTCTTTCTTTCTTAGCTGACTCACAAGCATCTCTTTGGCACGGCCTAGTTCCTCAATGCGTTCCCTTTGGGACTCAATTACAGTTTCCCTGCAAGGACATGCATCTTACATTCCAAAACCAGGTAAGTATTTGATAAAAGAAAAAAACTAAATGAATACTCAAGAGTGCAAAAATTTTCAAAGTGTTCAGCAAAATTTGTGTTCTTAACATGCATCACAACAGATGTTAAAGAGCACAACTCACTATGAAAATAAGTAGAGGTCACCACATGAAAAGATGTGACTAGTACAAAACAGATAAACAATACAAGCACATTATCAAACACAACACAAACACTTAAAATAAATGTTTAGGTAGACTGAATAGTGTCTAACAGAACCTAGCTGAAAACACTGTTCATGGTTTCTTATACTCTATATTAAATGTATTCTCCTAATCCATATAGTATCAAGTGGTTTCTGAAAATGAAAACATCACTACTAGCTATCGAAAGAACAGGAGTTCTTCAATAGATGGAGCAGTGAAAGTAATTTTTAAGCATTTATTCTGAACTAGGTAACTTTACACACAAAAAAACCAAAATCAGATGATGTGTCTAAGTAGAATTTATAGAAAATTATAGAGATCAGAGTCTGAATATTTTTAATAGGCCACATCTTCGTGATTTTTATTTTCTTGACAAGTTAATTTCAGATATCTTTTCCAATACTTTTTCTACTAAGAATAAGCAAGAACTCATCTACTATGTTTTCCAATCTGAAGCTTTTGATGCATAAGCTACAGTTCTTCATTATTTCATATACCTATTGTAGACTTAAAAGTACTTTGAGGTTTTTGGCCATGTGTTTGCTTTTGTACTGGAGTACACCATTCTGAGCAACTGTGGTTATTTTTTCTGCCTTTGTGAGAACTGAAATCTCTGAAAAAAACACTATTTGAATGTTTTCTGTACTATAATACGCTTTTGATCAGTCTTAGAAGCAAAGCTATTGTGAACACCAAGATTCATGGTAGTCCTAATTGAATAGCTCTTATTTTGCTAGGCTTCAAAAGTGACAGGTATAGGAGAAATAGCCCTTTCTAGGCCCATCACTATGAAATTACTAAAGATTTTTTTTCAGTAACGTCCTGGTTTGGCTAAAACAGAGCTATTTTCTCCTTTCAGGAGTTTTTCTTTCAATCAAATCCCTTCTAAGTAACTGCACTTTCTGACAGTACAGCTACATGTTTTTCAGACACTGTCTGCATTTCAGGCCTGATAATGCTCGATGGTTATAGTTGCTACTGAAGTATCAGTAGGATTGGTATGCAGAAAGGCCCATGTTTATACTTATCCCCATGAGAACCAAGGCCACTGCTGGCCTTTTGCTAAGCAAGTAAAAAGCTGTAAAAGGGTTG